AGTGGCTGTGATGGTTGTTCAGAAGGCACCACTTCTTCTTCTGGGTCAAAGATGTATGTTTGTACCACTCTGCTTGTAGCCAGAGGTCTGAGGTGCTGATGTAAACACTAAGTTAGGAGGGTTTGGTCAGCAGCAGCTCATGTGGATAATCATGATGTAGCCCTAGAACAACACTATCGCAAGATGGCAAAATGTAAAGAATATTAGTAAAATTATGCTTACCACACTTCATCATGCCTACTTCGTAGCATTTCCGTAAACGGCAGGCCTGGCAGCTTTTACGTCGGTTCTTGTCAATAGTGCATTGATTTGTGGCAGGGCAAATGTAGTCGTTGTGTCCTGGGAAAAGAGGAACAAGACCTTATAACGTTTTTTTGTAGTTAGAAAGCAAATAAATTCATAGACGGGAGGTTCAGAAAGAGATAATACCCTGAATACTTCTCTTGAAAAAAGCTTTGCAACCTTCACATGACCACACACCGTAGTGGTACCCAGAGGCATAGTCATGACAGACAGCGCAGAAGTGCATGTCAGCTTTCCCTACAGCAGATGAACATGAAGAGGACTTTATTTCTTCTCCTGCTTCTTCTGATTTCTTCCGCTGCAGCTTGTTACAGCTGATGACAGAGCTGCAGAAAGAAGCACAGACTCGGTGAAAAGGACAACTTGACATCATGGATTTTTGCCTCATCATTCCTTGGTGATTTATCCTCCGCCAAACTCTATTATCTGAGAAACTGCATATATCATTGATACATATGAAATCACCATTGCAGTGATCATGTTGTCTGATATATAAAGGCTTATTACATTACCTCGCAAAACCATTTCTACCCATTAAGTTCAATAAATTTTATTGACAGTATGCAACAGACCAACACAAAGTGGTGCATATTTTAATGTGGAAAGTAAATTCTTGTTTTAAGACTAAAAGTAGGAAGTGCAGATATATTCAACCTCATTTTATTGAATATAGTCGAGAAACAAAATCACCTAATCACAGGATTAGGATCATCTGTGTATTCCAAAGGTCTGCGCTTTATTGGAGAGTGGCAAGAAAAAAGTCAAGTTGAACGTGCTCTGGTCTGTTGAGAGCAAAACTGAACTTTGCAACCAACGTGTAAAACAAACATAATATCCCTCTGAACTCCATCCATCCATCCATCCATCCATTTTCTTCCGCTTATCCGGGATCGGGTCGCGGGGGCAGCAGCTTCAGAAGGGAGGCCCAGACTTCCCTCTCCCCAGCCACTTCTTCCAGCTCCTCCGGGGGAACCCCAAGGCGTTCCCAGGCCAGCCGAGGGACATAGTCCCCCCACCGGGTCCTGGGTCTTCCTCGGGGCCTCCTCCCGGCGGGACGTGTCCGGAACACCTCACCAGGGAGGCGTCCAGGAGGCATCCTGACCAGATGCCCGAGCCTCAACTGGCTCCTCTCGACGTGGAGGAGCAGCGGCTCTACTCTGAGTCCCTCCAGGATGAACGAGCTTCTCACCTTATCTCTAAGGGAGAACCCAGCCACCCTGCAGAGGAAACCCATTTCGGCCGCTTGTATCTGGGACCTCGTTCTTTCGGTCATGACCCAAAGCTCATGACCACAGATGAGGGTGGGAAAGTAGATCGACCGGTAAATCGAGAGCTTCGCTTTTTGACTCAGCTCTCTCTTCACCATGACGGACCGGTACAGCGCCCGCTTCACGGCAGACGCTGCACCAATCCGCCTGTCGATCTCCCGCCCCCTTCTTCTCTCATTCGTGAACAAGATCCCCAGATACTTAAACTCCTCCACTGGAGGCAGGACGACACCCCCCCAGCCCCGGAGAACGCACTCTACCTTCTATTATTTTTACGACATAAACTGAGAAAAATGTGAAAAATCAAGTCTGAGTGTCTCACAGAATTAGTAATCTTTCTGTCTGAAACACACACGGCACAGTGGATTTCTGACTCCAAAACTCTTTTTAACTCCCCCTCACGGGCACAAATATTGCCCTATTGGTTTCAAAGTTGGTCATGACACATGCCTGCTCCCGTAAAATGTTTTCAAACTTTTTATAGGGCTTATGGTTCTCTGTCAAACTGCTTTAGACTGACGCTGAGTGTGTCACATAGATAGGAACTCTTTCTCCACCATTCTGTCTGACACAGAGACACAGCCCAGGTGCAGGTCATTAATTACCATAGCAACGCAGCCAGGGTGAAACAGGCTGGATTAAACAGAGAATTCTCTCCCCCTCTGTGTCACTCACAGCTGCACTTGACAGGGGATTAATTACCACAGCAACAGAACACAGAGCAGGGCAGAGGAGCTGTTTAGGACTACAAACACACCATCTCTGTAGTTCTATCTATGGAGAAGACTCAGTTAAAAGAGAGGCCTGAGCAGCATGTCAAAACTACAACATGGCGGAACTATCTAGTAACTGAGTCCTCTTCAGTTACTACAGAGGAGGACTTACCTGTATTCAGAACTACCTGTGTTTTGAGCATTGTATAACTGATTTAACCCAATCACTATTACACATGGGATTAGTGTGGCCATTTCAAATGAAGCTTAAAATTTAAAAACAAAAGCCTCAATATTCCGCCCAGGTTAGTGCACCGCAATAGGCGGTGCAATAATATTAAACTTTATTATCATTCTCTCTCAGGTTATGGCATTGGCTTGTACAGCAAGCCAGAGCATTAGCATTAGCCTTTTACCTAAAATAAGCTATTAGCTAATTTTATTACTTAACAGTCATGTTTAGTATACTGAATGGAGTAAGTCAATCACAGACAACATGCAAGTGATGCCCCACATGCTACTGATAGCATTCATGTTAACAATAGCATTTTGGCTAATTTTACCTGATTCATTAATTTTTACTTTGTGAACATGCTTCTGACTCCACAGGTTACTGACTACAATTTAGCTCAGCTCTGCATTGATGCTACCTTTTAGCATCAGAACACTTTTCTTACTTATTAGCCATGTTTAGTATACTGAATGGACTAAGTCAATGACAGACAACATGCTTCTAATGCCCCACATGCCACAGACAGCATTCATGCTAACTTTAGCATTTTGGCTAATTTTACATGATTACTTTTAACATACTGAATGGTACAAGTACAGCTGAGTGAACATGCTTCTGACTCTCCACAGGTTACTGGATACAATTTAGCTCAGCTTAGCACTGATTCTTATTTTTACCATCAGAACGTTGGGTCCAAACCTATGGGCACACTTTGGCAGCCCCCCGTTAAATTTCTTCAGGAATTTTCTAGTTAGTTTTATCCTCTCTTGGTTTCTTGTTATGTCCTCTTTAGTTTCTATCCTGTTGCTAGTTTTATTTTATCGTTTGTATTGACCCTCACCACCAATAATCTTCACTCATCATGCCACTCACCTGCTCCGCCGCTTAATTAGGGTTAGGGTTAGCTCCTACTTACTTCAGAGGACAGACCACCGGGACGCTCCATCTGCTTCTGGGTTTTTCCTGGCTATATTTCCGGCCAGCGAACCATTCCGCAACACAGTGGTCGCTTTTCAGACCACTTAGTCTCCTGTACCACTCAAAAATGCACAATATGTCTATAAACCCTGGGGTACACCCTGGCGACCTGTCCAGGGTGTACCCCGCCTCTCGTCCGGAAAGTTAGCTGGAGATGGGCACCAGCAACCCTCCCGACCCCACTAAGGGACAAGGGTGTAAAGAAAATGGATGGATGGAATATGCTGAAGCCATTTTTTAGGACTTATACACAAACAGCTGTCTGTGAATGAAGAGGGGATGCAGACAGTGTGGCTCTCTATGCCCTACGATTCAGTGTCGGACTTGTTCTTGGATGCATCACAGAAGCAAAGCAGTTGGGGAAAGATCTCTTGATGGATGGGCTCTTCTAGCGTCAGTACTGCTGTGAGGCCTCATGGCTGCTCCTGTGAATATTTCCATTGTGTTTGGGGCTAGTTGAATTATTCAGGCAGCTGGGTTTGGACTATAGCTGACTTTCTCTGTACCAGTTATCCTTATATTTTGCTTGACATTGTTTCAGGTTAGTAATTATATTTAGGGAGCCAAAGAAAATGCCGTCTTGGGTTTTAGTTCTCATAGAAGCTAATTCGTGTTTGGTGTTCTTGGTTAACTGTGACACATATTACCTAGATCAATGCCCTAGACCAGGGCCTTAAGCCACTGCTACCAGCACCATCATTTCCTCCTTTTATAAATAATACTCTTGGCTCTCAGTGTTTAACCCTATCTCTCTCCCAGATGGGAACAGAGGAAACTTTAACTGCAAATAGTAGTAGTATGTGATCTCTTTTATCCTTTAGACTTGAACATGAGTCTAAAGAAGCTCACAGATTACTCACTAATCTGCGAGCTAAAGAAGCTGCTGCTACTTGTCATGATTCATGTTCTACGACATGTCCATGCTGAGTTTTGCCACTCATTCAGCTTACCTGCTACGCCTGATTGCTTACCTGTCTCACCTGGGTGCCGACCTACTTAAACACCTCTCAGCCTCTGCCTCCTTTCCAGATTATCAACAGCCACGAGCCAGTAGAGATTCAGTGTTTGCTTCCAAGGCTTTAGTGTATTTACAACTCTTTCTGCCCATGGATTTATCCCCTTCTGCCAAGCCCATCTGTTCTGGATTTCACGACCTCTGCCTCACGACCACCGAATAGTGCCTGCCCCTCCTGCTAAGTTTGCTCTCTCTGTCCTTCTGTGTATGACCTCAGCCTGATTATCGTCTAAGTCCCTGGATGTTGCTTTTCACCTACTGTATGTTATATTTTTCACCTATGGAGGTTGCCATTTTTTCACCTGCTGGATTGATGTCGCGGTTGGGTCTGCTCTGTACTGGAATCCACAGAGTAAACACAGGGAGGCTAACTTTACGTGAGTTGTTTATCATGTTGCATTTGTCTGGTGTAATATTAGATAATGCCACACTGCAATACTGTTGGCTGTAATAAAAAAATAAACAGTGTGGTGAGTCTGGATCACTTTCCACATGAAAAATGAGTGCACCAAACACAAACTTCCGAGGGCCCTACATTTGTGTTCTCCACATTTCTCTCCAGAAGACTGAGTTATTTGTAACAAGCAAAACTGACAAAGGCTAAGTTAATGCTGATAAGTTTCATCCACACTAAAAGGAGACCAGACCCTAAACGTCTTCATTACCTCTTGTAATTCAGTCAGTCATGGCAGATCCTGGTTCAGCTGGAGGGTTCTTCTGGTTGAAGATGAGTTTTCCTTTCTACTGTTACTACATGTATGTTCTGTATGAAGGATTGTAGCTCATTTAATGACACTATGTGAGCACCAAGTGAACTGCGTTGTTTGAGATTTTGGATCAAATCAGAATTTATTTTGAGTCCGTCAGTAGGCTGACTTCTTTTTTTTGTCAAGTGCACTGAAGCGGCAATAAACTGAACTCGGTTGGTTTGGTCTGTCTTTCTTTCTCTAACCTGTCTGAAATTGAATGAGAAGCCTTAAAGCCACAACAGCAGACATTAGTGCTAGCTGGGAGTCCTATCTGCTTTGTTTTAGTGTCACTTTTTAAAGTTGTACAGCAGAATGCAGAATTATTCACTTTATTTTTGGACGTTTAGGTTCTTTATGGGTTTAGGTTTAAGAGAACACAGCATTTGTGTCAAAGACTTTCAAAAACAAATCCATGTAACATTACACCATTAATCAGTGTATTTTTTTCATCCATAGGTGAGTATCTGCAGTCCTACCTGTTTGGGTTCATGCCATGGGATTTTGACTCAAGCCAGGGTCCTTGTGGGTTTGGTTCATTGTAGACAAGAGGTTGGGTGCAGTGCAGAGTCAAAGAAGGTATGCTGTGGTGGTTGTGAGAGGGCCAAAAGGCAGAGGGACTCAGAGGGGGACACATGGATGATGGACTGTCAGCGATGGGTGCTCTGGTATAGCTCAGCACCGAAGGACTGTAGAAAGTCAAGGGTAGATGTCCGTGGTAGTCATGTCTACTATCTGTGTAAGGAGAGGGGATGCAAACGGTGTGGCCCTCTATGCCCATTGGAGGACTGTACATAGTAGGGAGAAGCCCTGGTGAGGTCGGCCTCTCTGAAGCTTTGCTGTAGTCCCCGTCATGGAGTTGAAGCATGGGTAAAGGGTCCAGACTTAACCCAGGGGAAGATGCCATGCTGAGCGGTTGATGATGCCTTTATTGATCTGTATGACTTTGCAGCTTGTTGCTCTACATGTTCTGGTGGACATAAATCCTGTAGCAGAAACAGAAAAAAATGTGAAATAGAGTAAATGATATAGTTTTTTTACTCTATTTGAGAGAAAATATGTCTGCCACTTTCACCTAGCAGCTCATCATCTTTGTCATGTTAATTCTAATTCATCTTCACTATGCTCAACTAAAATGATAATAAATAACAATACATTTTATTGGCAAGTTTTCTAACACCCAAGGTCACCTTACACCATTTAACATAAAAACACAATATAAAAGACACAATAAAAATAACTACAAAAATGAATGAGATGATAGAAGAAGAGGATCTGTGGGTGGGGGTAGGTGTAACAATGTGAAGAAGATCCAAAAAATATGGAGGACTGAGGGTTGCCGACAGGTTTGAAGGTAAGGAGGAGTTTCTACACTGTAAAATACAACTTATAGTATTTACCCCCAAAAAGTTGAGCTAACAATTTGCAAACAATCTGCTTGGGTAAATTTAACCAAAACATTTTTGTAAAGAGTATCTAATGCCAACAGCTCTGAAACACTCTGAAACTGAATTTGGTAAAAATCTACCTAACATTTCTGGTAATATTTCAAAACTAATTGCCTTAAAAATCTGAGTAATAGTATTCCTTATTCTTCATTGTTAATGTAGTTAATAATTTTTCCTATTTTTTAATAAAGGTAATTTACTATTACTGACCTGAAAAGTTACATAGAAATGCAATACAAGGTCAGACCAACCTTTATTTAATAAACTACATGCTCAACAAATAAACATAATAAATAATCATACATCCTAAATTTCACGCAGCTTTAACTATGTCACATTTTAGTAAGTAAAATAGTTGTAAAGATACAAATCTCTTGAACAATTTTTTTTTCACAATGCTACCCAATCATTGGCAATCAAAAAAAAAAATCTTTGGTTCAGATTTTACACAAGTTTCCGTTTCCCTCAGTCACAACTGATATTTCTGCTGGATCAATTCAGTTCAATTAAAAAATACTTTATTGATATAAGGAAATAAATTGTATGCATGCACTTGCATTTTTGCATAAAGAAATTTAAATGTTGCAACTCATTTAATTAAATAATTATTGTAGGTAGTGATGGCTTTAGGGAGGAAAGATCTCCTGTAGTGGCCTGTATTACAGCAAATATGAAGAAGCTTCTGGCTGAAGACACCGTTTTCCCAAGTGATTCTCATGAAGAGGATGGTCAGGGTTGTCCATAATTTTCTTGAAGAATCCTTTTTTGCATCATGATCTCCAGAGGTTCCACAGTCGTCCCAAGAACAGAACTAAACAGAACCAGCCTTCTTTATCAAGTTGTTAAGGCTTTGTAGCTCCCTGGCTCTGATGCTGCTGCCTCAACAGATGACAAGAAGTCCAGTCAGTCTGCTCTGTCCCTTCTTATAGTCAGCTTTACTGTTACGTGCAGTCCAGTCTGTTGACCAGATCCACCTCAGCTGTAGAATTATGAACTCGGGCTGCACCAAATGCAGCTTTCTCCCCTAGATTATTTACACACAGACACATCACCTTATATATATATCACTTAAATTAATTTATTGTTTATTTATTTTTCTGATTGGTGGATTTCTTGATCTGGGACCTGAGTCCACATTTCGTACCATGAGCTAGCTAGTTGGTATGACAATAGAAAATCCTTGAATCCTTGAATCAGTTCATGCAACATAATTGAATACTGTAAGCCTATCTTACAGTGGCCATCCTACTTTCTGCTATTATATAAGGTTTTCGTAAGGTTTTTCCAAGTATGTTAATATCTTATTGTGGAATATCTGAAGTTTTTTAAAAAAAATCTTTTTCTTTAGCATGGAAATGCACCACAAACCTATCATAAAAACCAAAACTTTCTGTAAGTAGGAAAGGAAGAAAAAGTACATCCAAACTATTTGGACTATTTCTGAATTATTATCACGGTGTAATCAGTCATCTGACAATTTTGACTGTGTCTCTTTTGTGTTGGTACTCTGAATGATTTAAAGGGCCATTTTCATGTGCAGTTCCATCTCAACCTTACACAAACAGACAAACATGCAATGAATAAATCAATTTTCAATCAGTTTTGTGCACTATGATAATAATTATTATAAATAATAATAAACATGTTTTCACTGAGGCTCTTTAAATGTGTGTATATTTTAAATTTTAAATTGACATTTGTGACTGTATACAAAATAGACCAGCAAATATTGCAGTATAAGCATATTGCCAGGGAACACAAAATTTATTGTGAAGTAACGCAAAAGTATTGCAAGGGAAGGCAGCAGAAAAATTTTTCCCCGTGTTTCCTAAGGGGCTCCATAGATAGGGACACAGTCAAACTGAATAAAACAGCAATCCCATAGTGAGTAGCATAAGCTAATTTGCAGCACTTGCCCCCACATGGGCTTTTCTAAACATCCATCCATTAACCCCCACGCATATGCCTGGTGATGTCGCAAGGGGTGCTGGTGCCTATCTCCAGCAGTAAATGGTGATACACACATACACCCACAAGTAGAATGCAGCGAGACCAATCAACCTGACAGTCATGTTTTTTGGACTGTTGGAGGAAGACATACATGCACAGGGAGGAAATGCAGATTCAGTAAGCACTTAGGAAGTGACATGGTAATAATAATTTAAAATAAAACATGATAGACAACATATGCAAAATCATATACAAGTTAAAAAAAAAGTAAAACGACAATAAAAAAGAAACAGATGGATGCAGTTCAGTTTTTGACATAGCCTGAGTTTTGTTTTTTGAACACACTGAACACACTGGTTATACAGGGTGGGCCATAAGTTTCCATACATAGGAGAATGTAAAATGTATATTTCTTTTATATTTCAGATACCCAAGAAGATGCATTTGACAAGAGAGCAAAGAACTGAAATTATACTGATAGCTGGATTGGGAAGCAGTCGCATGGTCGCATGAAACTTTAACAGAAAACATGGAACGAGCATCACACACAACACTGTGGCAAAACATATTTGCAAGTTTCAGAAAACTATCATGAAGTGGTCCAAGATGTGCAGCAATTACACAGAGTCCTACAAAAATAAAAACGGTTGTCCAATATAAAATATTTATTTTTTTCTATGTATGGAAACTTATGGCCCACCCTGTAGATTTTAAATTCACAGGAAGTGAGTTTCAAACTCCAGTCTTCTCACAGAAAAAGCACTTTGAGCAAAAGTGCTTCTGATGTTCTAAGGGAACCTTACAGTTGCTCTTCAAAGTTACTCTGGTAGATCTATTGTTGTAAAATGTCTTGGAAATGTGTTACATGTCTATGGAAAATCATTTTTGTCTAAATTGATAAACAATCAGGTCAGGGTTAAAATAATAATTTTTGTATTTTCTCAACCAATGTTGACATTAGAAACCTACTGGTTTCTAATGTCAACATGATGACTTATGGGTCAAAAATAAATTTCAATTATCTTCACAAGTAATGACAGAAGAAACATTGTATCAGCATTGGGCATCAGACACAAACTAATCATGGTCAACATGTGTTTCATGTGGGTCAGGTTGAAGTGACCCTGAGCAGAACAATGCTCGCTCTTTGGATCACCACAGGGTTGCCCTAATTTAGAGGCTAGGTCCTTCAATCCAGATTGCCAGTTCTGTTCCAAGACACGATATACAGCCCCACAACACTGCCTATTGTGTCTTCATTTGGAAAGATGAATTGCTCAACATTTAATTTAAATCAGTTCTGAGATTGTGTTGGTATAATCAGCAGAAAGAATAAGGAAATGTTTTTGTTCAACACATTTTTAACATGTCTCTAAGTTTTAGAAAGGGTTTATTATAAGTAAATCAAGCTCTCAATAAGTCAATTTTAAATATAAGACTCCTAATGTTCAAGTGAATAATATCCGTGCCGTTAATAAAATTCATTATTACAATGTGAGGTCAATGCAAAATGCAAGTGCATGCATACAATTTAATGCCAGGGAAAACTTTATGTACTAAGTAGGACCAGTTCAATAGAGAAGCAGAACACAAATACACACTCACACTCATAAAAGACAAAACCTAATAATAATAATAATTATTATTATTATGAGTGGGATCAGAACTTTGATAACTTAATTTATTAATACTAAATGATATAATAGGCCTTAAGGTCTTCATCTAATGACTTCTTGAAGAGAAAAAAAAGGGAAAAAAATGACTAGAAATCTAAAATACTTCTAAATTTACTTACTTTAATAAAAACTTAAAAATGTATAAATGTATTTGCTTTATCAATTAACATCTTCACCGATGACAATAATCATAAAGGTCTGTCCCTTCCTTCCCCTTTCAACCAATTTATTTTTACATCGTTTTGTGGCAGTTGCAACAAATTTACAGCAAACAGTCATAACAGCCATTACAGCAGCCCAGCCATTAACTGCTTAGTGTTTTACTCCATCTTATGGATGACACTGTGGTTCACTGGAGTTCCAATTTCTTGTAAATTCCTTTCTACCTTTTCCAGACTGATAAATATCAGTAACTTTGTTTCTCATCTGGGGCCTGTATAAAACATGCGTACGCACAAGAAATGTACGGTGGCGTATTATACACACAAATTTCTTCTGTCAGACTGCCCCAGGACAGCTGTGGCTACTATCCAGTAGCTTTCCACCATCAGCGTGATTGTGTGCATGAATAGGTGAATGACTGTTGTATGAAGCACTTTTTTGTCCTCTGGACTTGATAAGGCGCTATACAAGTACAAGCCAGCCAAATGCCAACCAAAGGAAAATCACCATCTATAAAAATGAACGTTGTCACTTTGACCGGCAGAGGCTCTGCGTTAAAGAAGGAAGTGAGGCAACAAATGTCTTTGAGGTGGATTTATTTGGGAGCTCCAAGTCTTCATAACACCGACACCCCTTTTTTTTGTAGTGAAACAAAGAAGCTGACATTTATACCTGAGGCAAGTTCCAACACTTAACCAGGTAAAGGGGTGATCAAAAAGAAAAGACAAACAACAAACAAACACTACTTACACAAACCTAGCAAACAATAAATGATCCAACAAATATTTACATGCAAGCAAATTATTAAAACTAAACTAATCTGAAGTCAATCAAAAGTAAATATAACTAAATATAAATCTTAGAGTATTACCCCTCTTAATGGAAGAGGGTATGCTCCAGGAGCATTTGTCTCCTTTTCTGCTCCACCTTGCTAAACATACCCAGAAAGGCAAGTACTCAAACAATTAACTCAAAGTGAACCAATCTGAATCAGAAACAAACTGACATCTTCCCCCA